AAAAAATTAGATTCTTCTAAACTAGATGCACTTAAAAAGTATAATATTTATAGAAAAAAAATTTTAAAAAATTCATCAAATACAAAAATATATATATATAATACAATATATTTTTGTATTCTTGTGTATTTATTATTTTTTTAAAATATTTTTCATAAAATTTTTATTTTTTAGGTGCATCTAAGTTATGCGAAAGTAAAAAATTTACTTAAAATATTAAAAAAATTCACTAAAAATTAAAAAAAAAATACGAAAAACCAAAAATTCAATTTTCAAAAAATCAATGAAAACCAAACAAGGTATTTAGGGTTGTGTTTTGAAATTTTTTTAAATAATTTTTTTAGGGATATTTACTAATAAATCTCATCTCACAAATAAGTACTCCATTTAACGGTTGTTTAGTAAGTAATTAGTATACTTTTTGGCTTTTTATTAAAGAATGTGAAATATGTGTTGGGTTTAAAGTCATGTTGTAGAGAGGTGATGTGACTCAAATAAGAAGTGATATGACCCAAATAAAATGATTGCGACTCAAATAAGATGATGTGCATACCAAACAACAACTTAGTCTCAAATTTTTTCCATTGATCTGTTAAGTCCTATTAGTGGAGAATTTTTTTCCGTGTGGCCCTATTTTTTATTTTGTTAGTGTTTTGGTGGACAATTATATCCTTTTTATTAATGTTACAGATATGATGTGATATTCTAATGTGACAAGTATTAAAATGACACTTCAACAATACTCCTTAGTGTACTTTTCTTAAAGATGATAATATAGTGAGTATGATGTGACACTCCAAAATTTTTATTACAAAAAAAAAAAACTCTTTAGTGTACTTTTTTCAAATGTAACAACGTAACGGATATGATGTGACACTTTAAAAAAATAAAAAATAAAAACTACTTAATGTACTTTTCTCAAACGTGATAACGTAGCGAGTATGCGTAACACTCTAAAAAAATAAAAATTCATTAATGTGATAACGTGGTGAGTATGATATAACACTCCAAAACTTTTACTTCAAAAAAAATATAAACTCCTTAGTGTACTTTTCTCAAATGTGACAACACGACAGGTATGATGTGACACTCTAAAAAAAAAAAAAAAAAACTCATTAATGTACTTTTCTCAAACGTGACAATGTGGCAGTATGACGTGACACTTCAAAAAAAATAAAAACTCTTTAGTATGCTTTTCTCAAATGTGATAACGTAGCGGGTATGATGTGACACTCTAAAAAAAATTAAAATTTCTTAGGCCTCGTTTGGGAACATGCTTTTTTAGTAACTTTTTAACTTTTTGACTAAAATATGATATAAAAAAAAACTAGTATGTTTGGAATGACTTTTTACGAAATGATGTGCAAAAAGTAAAGAGAAAATAAAATTTTTGACTTTTTTGTATAGGTTGTTGATTTTTTGACTTTTTTAGTAATTTTTTTTACTTTTTGACTTTTTGGCTAAAAAGCCCACTTGCCAAACGAGGCCTTAGTATACTTTTTCCAAACGTGACATGTGACACTCTAATGTGACAGGTATAATGTGATACTCTAAAAAAATTAAAAACTCTTTAGTCGACTTTTTTTAAATGTGACATTCTAACATGGCGGGTATGATGTGACACTAAAAAAAATTTTAGTATATTTTTTCTAAATGTGATACTCCAATGTGATAGATAAATGAGTCATTATATATTTAAAATGACTAAAAAGATCATAAAAAAAAAATATATATATATATATATAACTATATGAATTATAAATCCAAAATAAGAGACTTAGTGGTCGGTCCTTTTTTTTTATTGGCATAGGAAACCCCATTGAAAGTGAGGTTGCTTAAGGCAGAAGCACAAACCCCGCACACATCCCCCGCCCCAAACAGTGTGGTTGTGTGTGGTCGTTTAGTCACTTGCTTGGTAACTGTCAAGTCAAGGAAGAAGAAACGTAAAATTGACTATTCTTGCTCTTCCTTTTTAATGTAGGATTTGATAATGAAAATGGGTTTAATCCCTCCTAGTAGCATGAGGTAATTAATTCAAAAAAATTAAAAACACTCCACTTATATTTATTCTTTTTCTTGGTACATGAGAACAAGGTTGGTCCTGAATTTTTTAGGCTCAAAGCAAATTCTTCAGATGGAACCCTTTAAACATATTGAGCAAAAAAGAAAAATTATTTGTAAAATGGTAGGTATTTACAATTTTATTTATATATATATTTTGTTGATAGATTTTTATAGGTCCCACGATCTACAATTTTACTAGATTATGCCTCCTTTAGGTTTGAACTTTTTATTGATTTTTTTAGCTTTTTTAAAAAATTAAAAAAGTTTTGAAAAGTTGCAATGATTAATTATTTTTTTGTGAGGGAAAAAATTGGTGTGATATTTGACTTTTTTAACTTATGACAGATAAATGAGGCCAAAGTAGTATGGAATTTTTTAAGCTTATCACCACTTGACCGATATTTTGTGTTATTAAAACGTGAAACATGCATAAATAATTTAGAAGCAATTATACTTTTTGTATTTAAAATTTTAAAATTTCTTAACTTTAATTTTAAAATGTAGTTGGTTTTATTCAACTTCCTCGTCAATATTTTGTATTAATTAGAAGACAGTAGCATTTTTTTAAGCAAAATTAACTTTAGTGTAGTTTCAATACTTTACTACCTCTAACTCACTATTACTACTTTTGATTGTCGGCAAATTAACCTTCGATTGTTGGCGATAACTTTTCAACGACCATTGTAGGTTACCGGTGATCATTTTTAGGCAACTCTTTGGCACAATGAAATTTCATTGACTTAGCACAACTAAATTTCCCCTATGACCATCTTTTTTTGTCTTGGTATAATATCTTTATCTAATTGTTTTGTTTCAAGAGGAGTTAATTTACTTTTTGTGGCAGTTTTGAGACAAGATTTGAGTTTGGTGGGTTATGTTTTATGACAAGATGGATGGATTTTTCATTTTAGCAGATCTGGAATCAAAATTTTACAAATTGTAGTCTCTTACTTAAACACGATTTGTTAGTTTTTTTTTGAATGAGACATTGAATTAATGCTTCATTTGTTATTTGAATGAGAGTTATTATTTTATATGTTAGTTTTATTACAGATATTTGAATGGGAGTTAATATTTTGTATGTTAGTTTTATTACAGGTATTTTTTTATTAATTGAATGAGAAACTAAATTCAATATTTTTTACAGGTATTCTTTTTAATTTAATCAAATAAAATTAGCATAATATCCCCAAAAAAAAAGAAAAAAAAAAAAAGAAAGATATGACGGCGTTTCTACAAACGCCTCCTAATCCCTCAACAGTAACGGTAATATTTTTGAAACAGATACGACGGCGTTTTAAAAACGTCGCTAAATATTGTTGGTGACGTCAGCGTGTGTGTGGTGGGACATTTGGCGGCGTTTTTTAAAACGCCGCCTTTACTAATATCACGACATTTTTAAAACGTCGCAAAGCTACAGCGACGGCCGCAGCTTCGACGTTTGGTATTAAACGCCACAAAAGGAATTAGGGGCGTTTTTGATACATATGGCGGCGTTTTTTAAACGCCGCTAAAAGTGCGATTTCCAGCAGTGTGTTTTTAGATGTAAGTAATTTTTGAATCCGACAAATAAATGTATATGAAAATGCTACACAAATTCAGGGGTGATTTGAAATGATCTAAATAAGTGTACTTTTTGACTTTTTATGCAATATGAGTTAGGTATGGATTGGGTTTGAAATGATAAGGTAGAGAGATGATATGACTTAAATAGGATAGTGTGCCTGTTTGGCAGAACTTAAAAGCAGCTTATGTCAGCTTTCAGCTTAATTTAAGTTATTTCACTGCAGGAATTTTCAGAATTAACAACGTTTAAAAAACGCCACTATAAGTCTTCAAAACGCCGTTAAAGGATAAATACGGCGTTTATAACTTTCGTCGCAGATACGGCCGCCGTCTTAGGTATACAACGTTTATAAAACGTCGCTAATGACTTTAATCGGCGTTTTTTAAAACGCCATAAATTCTCATACATTCCGTTAGTGAAACCGTCATAGATAAATGTTGACATCGTATGACGACATTTACTGACGTTTTTTAAAAAACGCCATCGTTTCTCTTTTTTTTAAAAAAAATAAATATAAAACACTGCAATTTATATAAAAAGAAAATGTATAATTTCAATTGCACTAAATCTGCAAAATAAAACTCCTCAAAAAAAAAAAATACAATATGCAAAATAATGATTCAATTTTCAAATTGCACTATTAGCACTTTACACAAGCACATAAACTAAAAAACTTTCATGAAAATGATCATGAAAGATTTATGACCTTTGGATTACACTTAAAATAAAACATCACACACTAATCAAGGTAATCCAAGGGTCATAAATTTTTCATGATCAGTTTCATGAAAAAATTTTCATGATCCCTATCTTTTCTCAACTAAAAATAAACCAAACAATTTTAATTCCTCTTCCATAAGGCTACAATTTCCAAAAGGCTCATTCATGGGCCAATGCTTATTTCAAGGAAAAAGTTGGCCAATGCTCCTACAAAAAAACACTTGAATCAATAATATTAAAAAAAAATAAAGAAACTACCCCCAAAAAAAAAATAAAAAATAAAAAATAAAAAGCATCAATGGTCGCCGCATTTTCCACTTTGTTCTTTCTTTTCACCATCTGAGTGTAGCAGCTGACTATTTGCTGATCAAGTTCGTAGTAGTGCTTCATCTGCCTGACAGTTTGTCTTCACCCAGATCTCTACATGCTATACAAGGCTGAGAAACAACATCATAATATGCATGAATTGCCCCTTCTATGTCAAAGATATCAAGCTTTTGAACTTCAAGAAGCCGATCTAGCAACCCTGATCGGGAAACAGCTTCAGTAACAAGTTGCAGGAAATTCGTTGTGCGTAAGCCATCATCTGCCTGAATAACACACTTGAGTACATCTTCGAATGAATTACCAATCATACAACTAGTAATATCTGCCCCACCACCCAAGCCCCCAAATATGAGGGAACCGCTCAAGAAAACACGAAAATTGTTCTGAGGAGTGCAAAAGAGAGCCGTGATCGCTTTATGTACTCTCTCCTTGGATCCAGAGAGCATATCCAAGGGATCATATTCACTTGTATTTGATATCTAAATAAAAAGCCGAACATATTGAGCCAATACTAAAGTGAAAAATAAATAGCTAATTGAACCAAAGCCAAATATAAATGCTGATTTGTAATGCACATGAACTGAGAGATCCCTCCCATTATAGCTTAGCCTCAAAGAGAATAGTAAGAAAAAAATTACCTCTCTTTGATGCAATTTCAATGACTGGTGCATTTTAAAACGAGTTATTCTCTTTTTAATGGCATTTTCTTCAGATATGAATCTTGAATCTGGAAGAAATTCACATTTGGGCTGTATTTTAGAAACAAGAAGAAAGTGAAGGCAAAAGAAAGCAAGTAGCATATTAGATTGTTATGGCGAAAACCAAAGAGCAGAAAAACCAAGATGTTCATTGAGGAAACACACCTTTATCTCAACAGAGATGCTGAATTTCCCTTTAAGATTACCTGGACAGAAAAAGAAATCATAATACCACTCATATAAAAATGTAATTAAGAAAAGTAAACTAGTTTTCAACATTAAGCAATGGAAAATTTACTACTTTAAAATCAAACTAGCTATTTCTGTATATATTATACAAGAACTTTTCAACACAAATATAAAAAATTAAAAAAGAAAAGAAAAAAGAACTAGTTTCCAACATTTCATGAAATCATGTGCTTGCATATTCTCGCATGAAGACACAAGTCATGTCTTCCTAAAGCACATTGTAATATGATTAATAAAAAACTAAGTCAAACTTGCAAAAACTGTGAAACTTAATTCCACAAGGCCCATTCTAGATAAAAAAAAAAAACAATATATTCTATTATTCCCATAGCCCACCAAGCCAGAAATCCACTTCAAGGGGGGTAACCTATTGCTAATATGCCGGAAAATGTTCAACAAATATAAAACAATTAAGAAACAAAACACATAAATTTCAATTGAAACACAAGTCTCTCGCACAAAATTATTTATGAAATTTCCACATGGATTAATAATTAAAATTAAAAAACAAGAGTATTTATTTTTTATAAAAACATCTAACAATTATGTGATAAAAATTATTCAATACCTTAGAAGTAATCACATTGGTAGTTCAAAATTCTCTACCACATGATGAATTACAATAACCAAGTACCAGAATAAACTCCTAAGCCCAATATTAAATAGATTTTGGACAAGAGGCCATGTTTCTTGCATCCTAGCATGACACTAACTAAAAGTTGGAGATATCACTTCAAAAATTATGTCTTACAGAATTTGCCTTCTATGGTGCAAGGAGAAGATCTTATTTGAAAGTTCTCAGGAGATAGTAATTACCCTGGGGAAGATCTTATTCAACTGGCCTTTAGTTTGCCAAATAAGTTTTTTGTGTTTTTTCTGAAAGATGAAAACAGAAAATAGAAGGATCATTTCTAACTATTTCATGAACTAAAATGAAAACACAGAAAACAAAACATATTCTAGTAAAATTGAAAACATAAAACAAAACAGAGGTAGAAAAAGAGAAATTATAGCAAAATGATTTGGTTGTATGGTTTCTTGATTTTTACCATGCAACGAACTAAAGGCCAGTTGACACCCTTGAAGAAAGGATGTCGCTTAATTTCATTAGCTCCTTCGCGCGAATCCAATCTGTTTTTGGGATCTCTGTGCAACAACCGGTACATTAACTGCTTTGCTGAGAGACTCACCTGCACCACCACGCACAAAAGTTATTCCCGTGCTGCAGCATTTGATTTTTTTTTTTAAAAAAACAAAACTATGTGAAAATTCAACTAATTCCAACAAATTAATTTCTATCCACATTATGTGTGTAAATTTAGGAAGTAATTGTTTAAGTAGGCTTGTATCGTCATAATCAGACACCATAATTAGGTTCTGTTAAAAAGAAAGCAGTTGAAAGTATCATAAATTAGAAAGTACTTGAACGAAGATGGAGGATCATCTCACCGATATAGTGCCTGGGAATTTAAGATCCTTATGAAGAATGTTGGCAAATGTCTTTTGCCTTGTCTTTCCCCTAAATGGTGTATATCCATATAGCATTTCATAGAGCAGAATGCATTTCATACAGAGCAGAATGCCCATTCCCTGCTTCAAAAGTGTAGTTCTCATCATTTGATTGTTGGAATCTACCCTCAATTATAATTCAAATATATAAATTTAAGTACATACACACGAAAACATACAGAGAGAATCTAAAAAGACAATACCAGCATTGCCGTGGCTGTCTCTCTTGAGTTCCCATCAATACGAAGCACAGTGCTGGCCTCGCTGTAAAACTGGTGAACAAAATCTAGTTGCTGCTGAAGTACCTGGAAATACTACCCAACAAAGTACATCCCAACCTGAAATCCAAAGACCTATCTTTTTAGAGAGAGAGTGAATATGTATATATATATATATATCTATATAATAAGACAAGATTATTTTTGAAAATATATCAAAATGTATCAGAGATACATTTAACATTAACGGCTGAGATGAATCTGTGAATATGTATATATATATATATATAGAGAGAGAGAGAGAGGACCTGAGCAGCAGTGACGGGCAGGTGAAATGGAGTAGCCATGACGAGTCTCGAGGGGCTCTAAAACCCTAGAGCTCCAATCAAACCCTAGCTCGGCAATGCGGTGGCGAGTTCATCGTAATCGTAATCGTCATCGTCCTCCTCATCATTCACACTCTCCTCTGAACTGTCCTTACCACCATCATCTTCTCTATTACTCCCGTGAATCAACCTATCTTCTCTCCTCCTCTTGCTGCGACTCGATCGATTTCGATCCCAGTCCCTGTCTCGATTCCGATCCTTCTTCATTCAACTGGTCTATCTTCCTCTACAAAATTATCAAAATCAGAATCAAGAAAAACAAAAAACCGTCAAGAAATTTCAACCAAATCGATTCAAGAATCGATGGATCCGAATCGATGGATCTGAACAAGTAATCGGAATCGAACCTGGTGAATCTCTCAAGAAGAATGAGGAGAGACAGAAAACCCTAGATCTTGGACGGTGACAGAAAATGAGAAAAGAGAGAAATGAAGAGAGAAAGCAGAATGACAGAAAGAGAAATGGAGACGGAGGGAGACGGAGCACGTTATAAAGTGGAATGCGTGTCTTTTAATTTTATTTTATGTCTTCCACAGCGTTTTTCAATAAACGTTGTCTAACAAACGTGGTCATAGGCAACTATTCTTGTAGTGGACGATAATACATAACAACCATATTTTCAAACACCACATTGTTTGATTTCCGCAAATAAAGTTTTTTATTTTTCATATTTTTTTATTTTTAGTCAAAAATTTTAATATTTTAAGATTTTCTTTTTTTTAAAAAAAAATTTAGATTCTTCAAAAGTAGATGCACTTAAAAAGTATAATATTTATGTATTTATTAATTTTTTAAAATATTTTTTCATAAAATTTTTATTTTTTAGGTGCATCTAAGTTATGCGAAAGTAAAAAATTTACTTAAAATATTAAAAAAATTCACTAAAAATTAAAAAAAAAATACGAAAAACCAAAAATTCAATTTTCAAAAAATCAATGAAAACCAAACAAGGTATTTAGGGTTGTGTTTTGAAATTTTTTTAAATAATTTTTTTAGGGATATTTACTAATAAATCTCATCTCACAAATAAGTACTCCATTTAACGGTTGTTTCGTAAGTAATTAGTATACTTTTTGGCTTTTTATTAAAGAATGTGAAATGTGAGTTGGGTTTAAAGTCATGTTGTAGAGAAGTGATGTGACTCAAATAAGAAGTGATATGACCCAAATAAAATGATTGCGACTCAAATAAGATGATGTGCATACCAAACAACAACACAGTCTCAAATTTTTTCTATTGATCTGTTACGTCTATTTCTAGAGAATTTTTTTCCGTGTGGTCCTATTTTTTATTTTGTTAGTGTTTTGGTGGACAACTATATCCTTTTTATTAATGTTACAGATATGATGTGACAAGTATTAAAATGACACTTCAACAATACTCCTTAGTGTACTTTTCTTAAAGATGACAATGTAGCAAGTATGATGTGACACTCTAAAATTTTTACTAAAAAAAAAAAAAAACTTTTTAGTGTACTTTTTTCAAATATAACAACGTAGCGGATATGATGTGACACTTTAAAAAAATAAAAAATAAAAACTCCTTAATGTACTTTTCTCAAACGTGATAACGTGGCGAGTATGCGTAACACTCTAAAAAAATAAAAATTCATTAATGTGATAACGTGGTGAGTATGATATAACACTCAAAAACTTTTACTTCAAAAAAAATAAAAACTCCTTAGTGTACTTTTCTCAAATGTGACAACGCGACGGGTATGATGTGACACTCTAAAAAAAAAAAAACTCATCAGTGTACTTTTCTCAAACGTGACAATGTGGCAGTATGACGTAACACTCCAAAAAAAATAAACACTCTTTAGTATGCTTTTCTCAAATGTGACAACGTAGCGGGTATGATGTGACACTCTAAAAAAAATTAAAATTTTCTTAGGCCTCGTTTGGGAACATGCTTTTTTAGTAACTTTTTAACTTTTTGACTAAAATATGATGTAAAAAAAACTAGTATGTTTGGAATGACTTTTTACGAAATGATGTGCAAAAAGTAAAGAGAAAATGAAATTTTTGACTTTTTTGTATAGGTTGTTGATTTTTTGACTTTTTTAGTAATTTTTTTTACTTTTTGACTTTTTGGCTAAAAAGCCCACTTGCCAAACGAGGCCTTAGTATACTTTTTCCAAACGTGACATGTGACACTCTAATGTGACAGGTATAATGTGATACTCTAAAAAAATTAAAAACTCTTTAGTCGACTTTTTTTAAATGTGACACTCTAACATGGCGGGCATGATGTGACACTAAAAAAAACTTTAGTATATTTTTTCTAAATGTGATACTCTAATGTGGCAGATAAATGAGTCATTACATATCTAAAATGACTAAAAAGATCATAAATATATATATATATATATATATATATAAAACTATATGAATTATAAATTCAAAATAAGAGACTTAGTGGTCGGTCCTCTTTTTTTTTATTGGCATAGGAAACCCCATTGAAAGTGAGGTTGCTTAAGGCAGAAGCACAAACCCCGCACACATCCCCCGCCCCAAACAGTGTGGTTGTGTGTGGTCGTTTAGTCACTTGCTTGGTAACTGTCAAGTCAAGGAAGAAGAAACGTAAAATTGACTATTCTTGCTCTTCCTTTTTAATGTAGGATTTGATAATGAAAATGGGTTTAATCCCTCCTAGTAGCATGAGGTAATTAATTCAAAAAAATTAAAAACACTCCACTTATATTTATTCTTTTTCTTGGTACATGAGAACAAGGTTGGTCCTGAATTTTTTAGGCTCAAAGCAAATTCTTCAGATGGAACCCTTTAAACATATTGAGCAAAAAAGAAAAATTATTTGTAAAATGGTAGGTATTTACAATTTTATTTATATATATATTTTGTTGATAGATTTTTATAGGTCCCACGATCTACAATTTTACTAGATTATGCCTCCTTTAGGTTTGAACTTTTTATTGATTTTTTTAGCTTTTTTAAAAAATTAAAAAAGTTTTGAAAAGTTGCAATGATTAATTATTTTTTTGTGAGGGAAAAAATTGGTGTGATATTTGACTTTTTTAACTTATGACAGATAAATGAGGCCAAAGTAGTATGGAATTTTTTAAGCTTATCACCACTTGACCGATATTTTGTGTTATTAAAACGTGAAACATGCATAAATAATTTAGAAGCAATTATACTTTTTGTATTTAAAATTTTAAAATTTCTTAACTTTAATTTTAAAATGTAGTTGGTTTTATTCAACTTCCTCGTCAATATTTTGTATTAATTAGAAGACAGTAGCATTTTTTTAAGCAAAATTAACTTTAGTGTAGTTTCAATACTTTACTACCTCTAACTCACTATTACTACTTTTGATTGTCGGCAAATTAACCTTCGATTGTTGGCGATAACTTTTCAACGACCATTGTAGGTTACCGGTGATCATTTTTAGGCAACTCTTTGGCACAATGAAATTTCATTGACTTAGCACAACTAAATTTCCCCTATGACCATCTTTTGTGACTCGGTGCCGACGTGAAGTTACACTGTGCTAGTCAGTGAAATTTCATAATTGATCAAAGTTGTAATAGTATATGAAAAAAAACAAATAACACCTAAGTCAATGAAATCAGAAACTTGAAGAAAATTTAGAGGGACTTTACTCAAATTACACCTAAATTACAATCTTAGGAAAATTTCTCTTTTGAGGTACACTCAACTTACACGTAAATTACAAATCAAAGAAATTTCTCCACAGAAGTACACTCAAATTACGCCTAAATTACAATCTCAAAGAAAAATACCTGAGATAGTTTACTCAAATTATTAAACTAAAAACTTCAATAAAAATGAGTTTGATTACTGAAAGTACACTTACATTACAAAATCAAATAAATTTATTTGAGTTAATTAGCTCAAATTACACTTAAATACAATCGGAACAATTTCATAGAGTTAATTTAATCAAACTAGTATTTCAAATAAATTTCTCAGAGTTTGTTTTACTGGAACGTAAAGAAATTTCTCTAAAGTAGTTCACGAAAATTCTACTTAGAGTACAAACTTTAAGGAATTTCTCTAAGTTAATTTATTCAAATTACACCTAATTACACTCAAAGCAATTTCATTGAGTTAATTTAATCAAACTAGTATCTCAAAGAAATTTCTATTAGTTTCCGAGTTTCAGTGAACAAACTTGGAGAAATTTGATGAAACTCAAAGAAATTTCTGTGGTAGAAACTTAAATTGTCTACTGAAACTTGGAGAAATTTCTCTAGGATAGTTTACTCAACTTACGATTAAATATACTCTGAGCAATTTCACATAGTTAATATCAAACTAGAAGTCATAGAAATTATATATAACAAATTCCATATATACAATCAACTAGAATACATTAATAACTACTACAAAGAAATTTCCAATATTGTCAATCTCCAACATAGTTATGGTTTGGTAAAAACCTTTTTAGTTAACTTTTTTGAA